TTTTGTTTTGGATTTGGAGGAGTTTGGGGGGGCGGGTTCTTTTTTGTTGGGTTCTTATCATTTTAACTTAGTAAAACCTTGGCGTAATCACTCTCAAATTTATAGATGTAATAATTACTTTTTTTTTTTCCCCCTTTTTTTGTTTTTTTTACTGACCGGAAACGGGATCGCAACCCTAGGTGGATCGCAACCCTAGGTGTCACGCCCGTACCGGGGACCGGTAACGGGATCGCAACCCTCAGTGTTGCGCCCGCACCTCGCTCAGCCAGTGAGCGGCCGGTCTGTATGTGGGATCCGAACCCTTGGCGGGAGCGCCGCCACGCTCCCAAGCGGCGCACTGTAGCAGTGCGCCACCGGGCCGGCCCTGAGTTCTAAATTTAAAAGTATATGAGAAGACTGATTCAAGGGTCACAATAAATTTGGTATTAAATTTAAGTGCACGTAGTATATGTGGATCCTCATTTCCAGTCAAGTCTCTCATCAGTTAGGATTCTGCTAGGTATTGGATTTCTTAAGAATCGGATGAAAGTTATGGACCCACACCTCACACATACACACAGAATTGAACACAAAAATCCATGTTATTTTAGCGGGTTCCTGGTCATCCTAAAGGCTCATCCATGCCTACCCAAAGGACCAGATTAAGGACCTTTGCTACAGGTATTACGAAAAGGTTACATTCCATTGAGAATTATTAAATATATATTTGGGGGGAGGAGAGGCAAATGAGGGGAGACACTAGATGACTATGTATAATCATACTGAAATGCCCATATGGCCTATAACTGGCAAGAGAATAATGGGCCTGAAATAATGAAATGGCAAGAGAGTACTAGATCATTCTAGTGATCACAGGTCTGATCTGTTAAGGCAATTTGTAGACTCCTTAAATCATAACTGTAGTGTGCTAGGCTTTATTGGACTTTATGTAATGGCACTTAATCATTCAAAAAGTTAAATCTTTCTGCACACTTTTCACATATATATATAACTTCAACAGCCAAATGAGCTGAATAAGCTAATAAATATTACTTCAGGCTGTTGAACTTTCACTACAAAAAAAGTATAGTAATGAAGAAAACTCCAAAGAGTTAAAATATCAGCTCATTTCAATTATTATAAACCTTAACCTGTTTAAAAACACTCAGGGGACACATTTCTACTCTTTCCTTTTACCATAAGAGAAAGATCAGAGGAAAACCATTCACAGAAAGAAAAAAACACAAAAAACTGTGAAATTCTTTTCCATTGAGCAACAATAAGGTCAGAAATAAGCTGAGACAAACAGTTTTAGCTTAATTTTCACCAGATGAAAAGTTGGAAAAAGTTTCCATTTCTCTGAATAAGAGAGAAAGTAATTCAGGTTTTTCAGAATAAATGGAGTATTATCTATACATTCAAATTGATGATAAAGAGAACTAAATGCTGGTGTTCTTCATAAATCTCAGCTGATCAATATACAAATGGAGAGAAAAAAAAAAGAGAGAGACCAAGTAAAGATAATATTTACTGTGTTATTTTCCTTTTGTAACTGATTAGAGTCTAGCCCTTAGGTCAGGTGAGTACTACCATGTTTCTGTGGAAACAATAAAGGTAAAATAGTTATTATCTAAACCAATTAAGTTTGTGGTGCTTTAGTACAAAGCAAATTTTAAACATACATGGTTTCTTTTCTTTGGAAGATTAAAATGAGAAGTGTACCCCTGAAATCAACACATAGCAAGAGTATTTAAAGATGGAAAAAACCTCAACTATAACATTGGATATATATACTATCTTGGGAGCTTTTAGGTTCTTTACATGTAAGTTTTTTATTCTCTTCTTAAAGTTGAAGAACATATGTTCAACAAACAGCCAAAGTGACTGAGGGATCAACTGACTTTCATCAAACTAGAAAATGTAATTAAACTTCTCTTTAGTATTTCTCAACAAGCTAATTTATTCCCTATTTTAGAAGAAATGCACACCATGTATGTCTAGAAATACAAAGTAATCAAACTTTCGTTAAAATACCAATTTTACCTGTATTGATCTGAAGTTAAAAATCTAACATCTTTTCATTTTAAAGGCTGGGAAATATATATCATAGAAAACGTATCAAACTCAAAATTTGACTAAAAACAAAAATAATAATAAAGACAGCACAGGGTTCACTGGTTTGCTCGGTTTGTTAGAGCATGGTGTCCAGGGTTCAATCCCTGTACCAGCCAGCCACAAAAAAAAAAAAAAAAAGAAAAGTAAGACAGAAAAAGCAGCTGACTTATTTCATCTGGTTTTCTATCACTGAGCTCATAAAACGTTTTCTAAAGCAAAAAAATACAAAGATTTTGAATATTTGAAAAATCTTAATTCTTTACAACACAAAAGGTTACTAGGAAAGATTCTGAATACCAGACATGCAAGTTTCTACCAAGATTTTGTGTATTGAGTTTCCAACAGTTTGACTCTCAATTTAATAAAGATATGTTACATCGTTCAGTTTACTTCTCCAATCAAAATATGAATAATTATAATTAGGGGTTGGCCATTTAGCTCAGCTGGTTAGAGTACAGTGTTATAACACCAAGGTTCAGATCCTCAGACTGGCCGGCCACCAAAAAAAAAAAAAATATAATTACCTTCAATTCTTCTATGGACTGGTAGTCATTGTTCTTGATCTTTTCTTTCATGGTGCTAAAATCCATTGGGTGTTTAATGATCATGGAGTAGCCGGGAGCAATAAAGTCAGTCACAGGAAATGAAAAGAAAGCACTTGGGTCTTTCCTGTGAAGACATGCAAAAGACAATGTTAATTTTACTTCCACTACAAACAAATCTACTGGTCTAAGAGCAGAGAAGTGAGATGAAACCCTTCAGGTGCAAAAAAACCCTTGTAGTATGCAAATGTTTTCCACTGAAAACTGAAGGAATGATTTAAAAGACTAATACCTATTTAATAACAACCTATTTTAACAAGTGTTAAAACATTTTATGCACCAGTTGTACCCTTAAGACAGAGAATCTTTCTTTTTAAACATGTAGCACCTCTCACATAGGGAAAAATAAAGCAAAATAAATAATTTAGACTAACTGACCAATGTCTTGGCCTTTGGGAGATCAGAACTGCATATTTTTTATCAACCACAGAGGAAAATGCAGAAATAATAACTATGAATGCACATCTACAATCCCACAATCCTCCATATTAGTTTCTTTTTTTTCCTTTTTGTCTTTTTTCATGACCGGCAACGGATCGCAACCCTCAGTGTC